TTTAAGAAAGTGACGACGTGTGCATACGCCTCTTGAGTTGTCGTTTTGAAGATTTCCCTCAGCGAGAAGAATGCGTGAGGCACACCCTGGATGACCTCGACCTGCACGCTGACCCCAGCTGCCCTCAACTTCTCCGCGTAGTCAAGGCCGCACCCAACCAAGGGGTCCAACTCTGCCAGCAGTATCAGCCCCGGGGGTGAGGCCTCCGTGTTGGTCCGCACCATGGCGTTGACACGGGGGTTGGTGGTGTAGTCTGGGATATGGAGAAGACTGTTCTCGAAGAACCATTTAATAGCGTCTTCATTGAGCCCCGGGACTTTCTTGAACTCCTGGAACGACTCGTGCCGGAGGGTGGTATCCGTCATGGGGTAGACGAGGATCTGGAAATCCAGACCCGTGACGTCATTGGTCACGCTGGCAGCGATCTGACCCCCAGCGCTGTCCCCACCCACGCCAACCTTACTCCCAAGTTTCCCGCCGACGACTTCCTTATTCTCCAATACCCACTTCGTCGCTACCACCGCGTCATCGAATGGCGCCATTACAGCGTCGGGATTGGGCAGAAGGCGATACTCTACATTCACTACAACAGCACCCGATTCCTGAGCAATAATCTTCAGCGGACCTTTATTCATATCCCGCGTCCCAACGACCAAACCACCGCCGTGAAAGTACACCAAAATAACGGGAATTTCCGGTGACGACGCTGGTTTATAAATAGAAGCGGGAATTCCCTCACTGGAATAAGGCGACGGGATGATAATCTCTGAGACCTCGCCCTGGAACTCGACATCCCCACACATGTACTTGGTCCTCATATCGGCCTGCTCTCTGGCTTTCTCGACCCCCAGCTCGGGGTAGGGTCGCATGTTGGCTGCCATAGCCTGCCTGAGGAACTCGTACGATTCCTCGTGGACTTTGTACTTCTCGGAAAATGGCGCCCAGATGTCTCTCTCGTTCGCCATGACTTTCAGCTCTGTGGGATACAAGTCAATACAACGTTCGTATATAACATGCGTATATAACATTCGTATATAACATTCGAATATAGCATTCATAAATAACATTCGTATATAACATATGAATATAACATTCAAATATAGCATTCATATACAACATTCATATACAACATTCGTATATAACATGCGTATAGAACATTCGAATTTAATATTCGTATATAACATTCGAATATATCATTCAAATATAGCATTCGTAAAAAAAAAGCAGCTCTGCTACAGAACATATTTTTTAAATTACATCAAGACTTGGATGGTATGGCCGGACAGTAGACCGCTCTACTGCTAACCCGAAAGTCTTGAGTTTGGATCTTCGACTAAAGTCCGTAGTAAGTTCCTGAGTCAACTCAACTCGGATGAATACCTAACTATGCTTAGTGGAACATAAAGGCAGATTAGGCATAAAACATACAGCACATTCCCATAATATGCCGTAAGATCACATCATTTAATGTGCTTTGGAAATAATTGTGTGTATTTTTTACATGGGTATACATGCATTACGTCTACACGAACACTAATTATTTTAAACTCAAGCTATTTCCAGGAATAAACTGGGATGATAACATCCCAAGGTTGTATTGGATGTTGGGATAGGGATATTTAGAGCTATTCTTTTCGATATTGAAATTAGTATTGTCAATACTAAAACACATAACCGACATTATTTCAATCTATTATTGTCAATACTGCATAACATAGCCGACATTGGGGTTTTCTTTGATCACGCTACATCAACGCAGGGTTAAGTTTTCTTAAACGACGGCAGGATAATTGCTAATGACGGATAATCTCAGGTCAATCTTACAGCTGACGTCATTAGCGAATCCTGGTTAGGACGGACGACGTCATTTGATACCTAAACCGACGCTAAGTGAAGGAGATCGCGTGTCGGGACGTTGTAAAAAGAACAGAAGTTTTCTCTTCGTTCTACTTCCCGTTTTCTGTGATTCCGTCTCAATCTTCTGTCGATCTTCTTTCCCTCCCGAAAAGCCCTCCCGAAAAATATTTACCGCCTCTCCCCCCCCCCCCGAACGAAATGAAATTTATATAATTTATATAGAAAATATATACTTTTAACAGTGCTCGCCCCCCCCCCCCCCCGAAGAAAGTCTACCCCCCCCCCCCCCCGAATAGTTCAAGTACCCCCCCCCCGGAGAAAAAAGTCTAGAAGAAACACTGCTTTATCCACTAAATCTTTCTCTCCCTCCTTCATTCGAAAATTTCCCTCCCTATCTCTTTCCTTCTGCTCCTCTTTGAATTATTTACCTCTATAGTCTCTCTCTCGAAATCTATTTGCTACTCTTCTTCTCTTAGAACAGGGGTCGGCAACCTGCGGCTCGCGAGCCGCATGCGGCTCTTTTGATGTCAAGATGCGGCTCTTCAGCTCCATGCACAAATATTAATAATTATTTTAATTTATTTTTAAAACTCATAAAAATATTAGTCTGCAATACTCGGTAATTAAAGATATAGATCTAATA